GAAAAGAAAGAGTGGACAGGGAAACAAATCGCAGACCACAACTCCACAAGACTACGCTTTATATAATTTGGGTCGTTTGAGAGGCCCGTCACGAAGCGAATCAATAAGCCCATCACTATAGCACATAGATGTATGTATTACAGTCGATATACTCCAAAAGTCCAAACTTGAGAGGCGTATAATAATTTTGGGTTTTGGGGAAGGAGACATTTCATCTTTAGCTTTCGTCAAAGTGATGACACGTGATGCTTTTCAGAATCCACCACTCCACGTGCCCTTTTGGTTGTACCCCTCAACAATCCACAATTATTGATTTTTAACAATATATTTTACCTTTTTAGTTATTTATTACCTTTTTTTTGGCTTTTCCCCAATTATTTTACCGTGCGTGTGTGTAGAAGGCAACCTAATAACACAGTGAGCTACAGATTTGGCATACAAAAACAAAAATAAGCTACATAAGTTTGTGTAATCGAAGACGTTTTTCATTCTTTAGCAGTTAACTGTCTATATACTATTATGTAAGTTTTTTTTAGCTAAAATCGTTGATTTTAAAAAATTATTTTTTACTAACAAATATTACTCTATTAAATAATACTTTCTGTAAACTTTAAAAAACATTAATTAAAAATATTTAAATTTTGAATTATTATTGATTAATATGTATTGAAAAATAGTTAATATTAAAAAAATAATGCATTAATAACTTATAACTAGTTATTTTTTAATTTGTATAAAAAAAGCCAAAATATCAATTTTCATGGAAAGAATGGAGTATTTAATATATTTAATAAAAATTATTTGACCAATCATACAAAAAACTGCAAAATACTAATTGTTAGATAATATTCAATAAAATTAAAAAATATCTAAAATTGTCAAAACAACTTATATTTAAAAAAAAACATTCAAAACAACATACGATTTTAATAAATTTTTTTTTAAAAAAAGATAAATAATAGTAGTATAACTTTGGGTGTACATTTTCAATGGTTACAGTAATCATTTTGTTCGCTGGTCCCGTCTCACGTGATTATTCCCACTTTACTCCTACTTCTCTCTATCAACCCATTACATAAATATTTTTTCAAAAACTATTTAATTTTAGTTTCAACATCACATAGTTATTTATTTTGTACATTTCTTATCCAGATAAATTGTGGGGTATTTGTTGGAAAAAAATGTGGGATACTTTTTAGGGTAATTTCGCTCAATAAAAAAAAATTATAATTAAATAAGTAACCAAAATTAATCCATATGCACTCATCACGTTTTTATTGATAACAGACAATAATACTCCATTTTTAATACATTCTATTATAGTACCAAAAAAATCTGAACCACCGGAAACACTAAACACATGATTTTTTACAAAATTAAAACTCGAAAATATTTAAATAAAGGTTTGGTCAAAGGAAAATATATAAAGAAATATTCTGCAAAAAGAAATAGTATAAAGATAAATAAAAGGTTAATAGTAATACATTTGTATTACCTGTTAAACATATAGTACTGTGTATATAACTGTATATATATATATAATACAGCTGTATTTTTATTAACCTTATACAATTGTGTGAACATAAATCTCATTAACTATCATCGGCTTCTTTGACTTTTATAATGCATAAAAATAAATAGAACAGCAAAACATCTACTATAATTGATTTCACTTATTCACCTCTCACATGTTGTGTTTAGCCTTTTAAGACGAAGATTGAAGGACACATTTTGATCACTTTTTTTGGTCACTGAGAGAGTGAGAGGTTTATTATTCCATGGCAGTATTAAAGTTCATTTATCCATTTCCTAAGTAAACGAATGTTTAACGCGCCATTAAAAGTTTTAAACAATTACTGGTGTATTAAGAGACATTCCATGGATAATACGCCTCAAAGTTTCTTACTATCTTTGATTAG